CAGAACACGTACTTAATGATGAAGAGCGAAAGATGACCTCACATCCGTGATAACAGCTCGTGTTTGAAAATGTGGGGGGGGGTGATAAGTGAAAACGATGATGAGGCTGAAAATCACGAGGAAGTGAAACCAACGCTAGATGTTGAAGGAGAGTGGACGCAACGACTGTTTAGTCCCGCGACCATTTTTTAAACACAGAGCTGGTTTTAAAAATAAAAAAAAGAAAAGTCTCAATGTCACACGTGAAAACAGAAGAAAAGAAACCAACACAAGCTGCTGTGTGTTCCATCTCGTTTTCTGTCACACACACTCAGATGTCATGATTCATTCATGTCATGACGTCTGTGACCAGAGACTGAGCTGACTCTTCTGCATGAATGTGCTTCTGGAGTGAGTACGTGCATGTTTAACGTGTGTTTCCAGGTTAGACGGTGGAATTTTGCAGATAGATGAGCAGATCAATTAATACGTCTGCAGTGGTTTGAAGCATAAACACACAGGGTATAATTACAGCACTCACAGGAAGCAGCTGCTTGCGTTTCCTTCCAGGGCGGCCCACTCTGCGCTTGCTGCGGGGGCTCGCCGGCGTCCCCTCCTCCGGACTGTCCTGATCCGCTCCATCTTCACTCTGAGCAATTACAGAGAGACCACATCAAACACTGAGACAATCAAATGACTGTATGAAGTATTGACTGATGTGGTGAAGACACACTCTGGAGTAAACAGGAACAAATGAATAAAGGGTTGCAGCACGTCGATGAAAAACCTCATAACCAGGGTTTCAAGAAGGTTTTACACTTTCTATGTCTTCATCGTGAGACGAAAAGAAGCTAAACTGAAGATGAATTCGTAAAATACGACTCGAATTTCTCAAAATCCGGCCAAGTTTTCAAACTAGTACGATGGCAATGACTTCCGATACCGACGAGGCCAAACATTCCTCTCATGAAACCACATTAAAAATTAACTAGATCCAGATTTTAGTTTGGATCCGCACCAAATTGTGCACACTCATAAATATCAGTGTTAAGACCCCTGATAGTTTTCATTAAGAGCCAGCAATGAAATGAAAACTGTTGAAAAACGCCCCAATCACACGATGTTAAAGAAGCAGATAAACTAATCGTTGATCTGTCCCCGGATCTGGATCCAAACCAAAAGGTTGATACCACATCCTTCCACCAAGTTTTGTAGTAGTAATCCCTCCAGTAGTTTTCCTGCGGACGATCTAACTAAGAAGCGCTGGTAGACAACATGCGCGTCGTACCAGTCCTGCACTGGACTCATCTGAGCACGGATACCCAACACATCTCTTTAAGACATTTAATAATTCATCGGAAGTGTTTTAGAAACTTGTCAGAATCCTTGAGAACATAATGCTGCTGCTGCTTTTTGTGAAACTTGGGACCTGAATTAATTCATCTCAGCGATTTTAAACAGCTTCCTCAGCTCAGCTCACAGCAGAGAAAAAGTGGCACGGAGCAGCAGAGTTGTAGAATAGTGATGTGTGGAATAAAAATACCTCAGCACCTGGATAGTGCGTGAGGGAGTTCAGCATCAGGACCAACAGACAAAAGACGTTATAGCAGGTTATTACATTATGGATTTTAAAAAGCAAATTACAAATAATAACAACTGACAAATAAAACATCTCACAAGTTTGAGTTATAAGTGTTTTCTGGAAGTACGGATACGCAAAGTGGACTTCATCCTGTCATAATACAGTGTAATCCTGAATAATGGTGATACTGAATTTCATTATGACAATAGATTGAAACTGTATTTGATGGAGATTGGTCACATCTGGTTAAAAGCAGGATTCTATTTGAAAGTTAAACTTAATCATCTGTTATTTTTACTGTAAAAACTCAATAATGGGAGTAAAGATGGAGAAAAAAATGCACATTTTAGTTTTTTAGGATTCAAATACAAGGTTTAGGACTTGGACCTTAATAACTCTGCCTCTTTTCCTGATGACGGAAGGTGTTTCCTTGATTTAAATACATAACAAATAATTAACGGGTGTGAAAAGATAGTGGCTTGAATGTAGGAGAAGCCTGAGTGAACGAGGTGTGAATATCTTTTTTTAAACAGAGCTGTGAACCTGCCGTCTCCCACACGTGTCCATACACACTTTGTATTTCTACATCTGCTTCGGACAAACTTTGACTTTCTGAGTCTCGGGGGTTTGTGCAGAGCTTTTATTGGGCTCGAGAGGAAAAATAAACAACACCTGCTTTACTTAAACAGTTCAAATTTCATGTGGCTTCACCATGACACACATCATTCCTGATGCTTTGAGAGTAGCATAGAATTTTAGCCGGGAGGCAGGAATTTCTGGCCGCAGAGATTTTCATTACAGGGCTTTTTCATTTTTTTTTTAATTGTTTGAGTGCTCTTTATGTGCATCGCTGCCTCGGGCAGAAATTAAATCACTGGTACAAGGATGAAACATTCAACCCTTGTATTGCTGAAGTGAAGCAAGCAGCTTTAAATGCACCGGTCGGAATAAATAATGGTTTTAATCAGAGGTTTGTGCAACTCGTTCAAAGTTTGAACAGCGGCAAGTGATACAAGATTAAAACAAATGAGAGGCAACAAATACCGTGTGAAACAAAAACTATCAGACAACAGAACAACTGAATAATCTGATGACACCATGTTGATGATAGATACAGCTGCAGACGCTCGCTCGTTGATTTACTACAACTACTACAACTACTACTTCTACTACTTCTAATTATAATAATGATAATAATAGTGAATACTGTCATAAACTGTCTCCAGCTATAATCAGTGAGGTCTCATTCTGTGTGCTGCCTCCTGTTAGGCGAGTGTTTCCATTAATGTTGCTGAGTGGTCGCTAAGGTGCAGAAACTGCTTAGCAACTGTCTCCGACAGGGCCTCTGTGCTGACTAAAGCTCCTGATGTCACTTCCCTGACGATCAGCATAGCAACCAGCCAGAGCGGGGGGTAATGGCCCTGTCGGCCTGGTGTGCTGCCCATATGCCTGTGTCACGACTCACACTCACAGACGAGCACACGTTTTTAACAACGCAACATGAGCCGCGTGTGCAACATGTGCAAACAAAAACACAAAGCAGCACAGCTAAAAAAAAAAAAATAATAAAAAAAGAAAACACTCAACCAAATCCTTTCAAGTATACGTCTCTCACACACACACACACACACAAACAAACACACTCGCCAATCTGTCCGAGTATCTTTGGTCTATTTCTATCTCCCGGCAGGTTATTTTCGGCTGCTCCAGTTGCTAAGTTACCAGACTGAAACCGGGCGGACAGAGGAGGATCCCATCAGCTGCAGACAGCTTGTCCTCTTTCTTTCTTCCCCACGTCCTCCCCTCTACGTCTCTCTCTTTCTCCCTTTATCTATCTCCTGCTCGTTTCATCTCTCTCCCCCCTCTTCTGCTCTCTTTCTCAATTCCACTCTGAATCTATCACCCACCTGATGACTGTTTGATAAAGATGTCAATATAACAAACTCTTTTATCTACATTCTGCCTTCATTAAAAACATCTGTGATTCAGAGGATGTCAATTCTATATTTTGTAATTTGTAAAACAGAGTGAGATTTACAATTTATACCCGTCCTGAGCACCCTGCTTATTTATATAACTCCGTTTTTAAACTATGTTGGGTCACTTAAGTGAACAATATGGCGACATCTCCACCTTTATGGGTTTTAAGAGATGGAATAAATAACACTGTGCATGTGCTCAGAATACTGAGTTCTGCTTTTAAAGATCCTCCAGCACATTTCTCACTTCTTTAAAGCGAAGGCACGGCTCGTCTTATGGCCTTTGAACGAATAAAACCTTCATCCACTGTTACTCCAGTGCTCCTTGTTCAAAGTAAAGTTATTCTGCGACCAGACACTGACCTCCCAAAACATCTGTCTCATAGGGAAAAGATCTGCTGAGATCAATTAGCTTAAATGATCCCACACTATCTAAAAGACTCTATCACCTTGCAATCGTTGCAAAGTAGTGGTAGAAATAGGAAAACACACAAAACTATCAAATATAAAAACACAAATATAAATATAAATATATATATATATATATATATATATATATGATATAAACACACAAAACCCTCTTTCAGACAGTCTATTATGTCTATTTCTATGCCGTGAGTGATGAGGTATGCGGAGGTAGAGCAACAAAGTAGAGCAGAATTTGAAGTAGAGGTTTTCACAGGTCCAAAATTGTGGACTCGGACAAATGAAAAACCTGCCCAACCCCCAACATGCCCATGTTAATTCTCAAAGACACATCCAGACATGAGGATAATTAGACCTGATCCAACATGTGATCATGCCAAGCTATTGTCTGAATCACCCTCTGGGGGCAACGGCCAATATTTTGAGGCTTCTGGAGTCAACAGCCGATATTTAGGCCAAGACTCCGTTCCCAGGACATTGTTACAGTCCGACAAATCAACACAAACGGAAGGTTTTCCCACAGAAAACACAAACACTGATACTTATGGTTGGTGTTTTAGGTCCAAACAACATTTTGGCTATTTAACAGCTACCTGCATATCAATGCAGACAGATAAAAAAGCCAACATTTGATGCATTTCAGTCATTGTGTTCTGCCTCTTTAGCTCTCCACACGGACTGTTTACCTGCGGGCAACCAAAGCCTTCTCAAATCTTTGTCAAACTAGAAACAGACACCAGAAGAACCCCGAAATCTTGTCTGCTTGCCAACAGATTCTGCACATTCACATGCAGAATCTGTTTATAGAAATAAAACAGACCCGAACAGCAAGAGAACACAACAGCAGCAACACGATGAGCCGTCAATGACTTTGATCCTTCAACGAGTAGCAAGACGGAAGCAAGGGAACCTATAATATTTATGTCCTGAGAACAAATGAGAAGTTTTAGAAAGTAAATGAATTCCCTTGCATGCAGCAAAGACTCATTTCTGTAAATACCTGCACCAACAGTCAAACCCGCTTCAGCTAAAGAAACAGAGAATCAAATATTGATTTCATTTCGCTGATTGAATGGGGCTGAATCTCTAAAGAGCAGTAGTAGTAGTGTGAGCCGACAGAAATGATTGTTTATCTTCATCATTTTAACCAGTAGCTTCTGTCATGTGCAAAAGTTTATAACTGGAATAAATCAAACCTCCCACACCTCAGTCCCCCCCCCACCACCACCACCACCACCACAGTAAACCTCCCAAACACTGTGACTCACTCAGATTTCTCTCTCTCTGGTCTTTTACTTTTGACTCTTTGAGACACACAGAGAGCAAAAGACAGAGTTGAGTCTCAGAGAGTTAAAAAAGACACAGCAAACTCTATACGGGAAACTTTGTCCTTGTTGGCTCGCTGCCACCGTGTGAACGTGGAAGTAAGTGAGTAAGACGGTTCTTTATATAGCTGCACTATAGAATGAACTCCAAACCTCTCGCAGATTTACAACGGCTGCCCTGGGCTCTGGGGGCGCAAATGAAAAGGGCCATTTTTCACTGCGTGTATGTCTGACTGTGTGGTAGGGTGTGTGTGTGTGTGTGTGTGTGTGTGTGTGTGTGTGTGTGTGTGGTGTGCACGTGCTTCTAAAAAATAAAAAAACAGTTTGAGACTCCAAACTCCTGCACTCGTCTCATCTGTATGTGGCGGAGTGAGTGTGTAATGCAGAAAGGCCTGTAGGTAATGTAAATAAATAACTGTAGGTTTAGTTATTACACACACACACGCACACACACACACACACACACACACACACACACACACACACGCTCTGACTTTCTCTGACGCCAGATTTTCTGTGAGCATTGGCTAAAAACAGCTCTGGACTTCATTCTCAGCAGCCAAAGTAGTAGTGGTGGTGGTAATGAAAGCTGTAACAATATCTGAGGCTGCAAAAATATCAGTGGTATAATTTCACCGCGTATGATAATAGAAGCAGCAATAACAACAACAACAACAGTGGTAGTAGTAGTAGAAGTGGAGAGAGTCGTAGGTGGAACCCAAGTTTAAAAGTGCTGCACTGCACATTTTGAAGCACTGGTACGTAACTTCAGTACATACATTTTATTTAAATCTACTTTTTTACTGATATATATACANATCTGGAGTTAACTGTAAAAATCCATAGAGCCATCCTGCCTTCTTTCAACAGTCCAGGGATGTCCCAGTCTATCTGTCTATTATTTATTGCAAGAATTCAAATTATTATTATTATTATTATGTATTACAAACATCAGTACAGAAGTAATAATACTATTCTCACCACATCAACCACCGTGTCGTTCGCTGGTGTCTGTGGTGTCTCCGTGGCAGCCGGACTGTTGGACGGCATGGCAACGAGCGGCTCGGTGTAGCCTAGTGCAGGAAGTGAAGAAAACAAAATGGAACAAATCAAAACATGAGAAATGCCCTCAGAAGCACCAGGTGCGGCTTCATTCAATCTGTTGGTCGCTCGCTCAGTCCTCCCCCTCTCCCTGGAGATGAAAGACAGAACACAGAGCGTGACGTGAGTGAATATACAGTAGGAGGAAGTTTGAGAAGGAAATCATTTTTGAATATGTGGTTCCATTCTCCTTATCTGTCTTTCTTCCTATCGACCTTTTTCTTACTCTTTTACACACACACACACACACACACACACACACACACACAGCCCCAGAGTCTATCCTGTAAAACACGTGTGTCTCTGATCTAGAGTTGATGGATGAATAGTTGCTGCACGTACAGAAGCAGAAAGATATTCATCTCCGTATAGTAACCAGTTAAAACAGGAAGTCCCCCCCCCCACACACACACACACACACTCGCAGGTGTCCTCAAAGGAATCCGCTGGAATCACGGTAACTTTCAACATGGCTGTCACACAGTGATTGATTGGGGCTCGTCTGTGTCCACTGCATGAGACAAAATGGCTGCGAAGGTAAAAATCATGGCTAAAATACATTACTATTGAATATTATTATATTTTGTAATTAGTCTTTGTCTGGTAGAGATGAAGGCAGCAGCAATGACAACTGAAATGGAGGAGGTATTGTCAGTAATAGTAGAATATGGGAGTAGGCGTATTGTATATAAAGCAGTCTTTTTATAACCGATGATCAGCTGCCGCCACGATCACAGTCCAACGTCGTGATCCACCACCACGATCGTGATTCACCACAATGATCCACCACCACAATCATGATCCACCTCCACTATCTGGATCCACCAGCACTTTCCACGACCAGCTAAAAACATCTGTAATCAAATTACACCTCATGCACAGATTCAAATCTGTGGTTAAACTGTGAAATCTATCTATCTGTCTTTTTTTGTGATGTCCTACATACGATGAATGGACTTTCCTGAGGTTTCATCCATTTCCCCCCCATTTTTATGAGGTTTTCTTTTTTTCTACCGTGGTGATTTGGGGCTCTTTAAATAAAACTGACTTCCCTTATTTTCCATGGCGATAGCTCAGCTGCACTTAAGCAGACACACTACACAACACGTGTCTCCATTTCACTTATTCCACTCACTTCCGCCTGCATGAGCATCCTCACATAAATCTTTGTATTGTTTGCGTGTCGGTGATTTGTTGACCGGTGTCAGTTGCTGATCTCAATCTGAGGACAAACGTTTGTAACCTGGATCTCGGCAGTGATTTGGACTTGAGCACATTACGACTGCAGCCAATGTGTCTGGCTTTGCTCGGGAGGTATTGTACAGTATGTCACTCCTCACGCTGTGGCCTTACATCACCTACTGTAAAGACAACAGGCTGCCGGCCAGCGTTACCAGCGGAAAGACCGGGGTGGAAACTTTGTAGAAATGGGTGTACAGTATCCACCCCTCCACCCCTGAGGGCTCCTTGCAGGAGCTGCAGGCACCAGGCCAACCTACCAACCAACTCCTCCAAGTCCTGCATATGTAGGTCACACACACATGCACGCACACACACACACCTATAGCAAGTCTACATACACCAATTTAAACTGTTCCAGTCGTCATGCCAGCAGTGGTTTAAATTAGAACATAGTTAAAGGCCCAGAAGCCTGAACTGGTGGGAGGAGAAATGGTTGCGCAGAGAAAAAGCTTGAAAGGTGTGTGAAGGTAGAGAGTCAGACAGAGACAAGACAAGGAAGTAGGGGATTTGTCTTCACAATAAAAGCATACACTAAATAATGTATTTGCTGTTTTTAAAAAAAATTCATTTAAGTAGCTCTTTATCTATTTAAATCACTTTTGGCACGTGGATGGCCTCGGGGTATCAGTAACGTGTCATCGTCGTTGGTGACAGGGACAAATATTGTTGCCTCACTCTGACTTACTTTGAACCAAACCAAAAGGCAGATAAATGGCAGATAAACCGGTTTTGTACTTGAGCATAAAGAAAATAATTTTCAAAGGCAGGTAAAACTGAGTTATCTTCCTTTTTAGCACTTTTTAAAATATCAATATTCATAAAGATATTGGGTCATTTGAAGATTTTAGACATTTTAGACTGAGGTCATCTGAGGTCATAAACCCAACAACCCTCAACAACCTACAATGCTTTTACTATCCAGTGGAATAGTAGTTTACTAATTCAACTATGGTTTCTGAAAACTTTATGTTGCAAGATACTAAAAACGTCAGAACATTAACAATTACATTTTAACCAACAACAACACGTCAACACTAACTTTCTAACTAAAAACAACACAAAACGTGTTAAGCAGCGGTCACTGTCGCTCAAAGCAACATGAGCTGCATCAGTTAGTCACGTTAAACATACATGAGGCAAACAGCAGGTTATAGACACCAGTGACATCACATTGTGCAGGAAACCTGCACGTCATGTCAGCCGACACAGGTCGTTTCCCACAGATCATTAACATCTTCAGAAAGATGTCCGGATAACGGCTACAGACTTCAGAGCACCTCCCGTCTATTGTTCGAGTTAACAATGAGATGTTCGCAATTGGCCGTTTCAATCATTTCTCCCCATCACTCGTTAGAGGAAGTTATTTTTAGTCTGCGAACACTCGTACAGCTTGTGATGAGACGGTCAGTCTGTATCTCACAATCTGCTCGAGTTTTTTTTTGGTAGTTTTACTCTTGTTGAGGGTTTAAAAACCGGGGACGTTGCACCTCGTTAAACTCCATCAGACAGAGAGTGATGAGTGCATGTGGGCTGTGTGAGTAAAATGTGATGGATCGACTGATCTCATGTTGTTATTAGTGTGAAATCATCTGTTCGGCCTGACGTTGCTCGGTGAGGCTTTTATTTTCAAACAGCAAACCGGAAGTACCGTCCTCCCTCGTGCTGCCTTAACGGAGCTCAGAATAACGATAATACGGGGAGCGACCTCACGCGGCCTTTACCGGACGGCCTCTGAGGAAACGGTGTATAATCCCGTTGTGTCTGTGGGTGTGGGTGTGTTTGTGGGGGGGGTGGGGGGGTGGGACGCCGGTGCGAGACACGTGTCGGTGTGTACCGACGATAAGCTGCAGTGTGTCCGGTAATAAACACACTGACACACGGGGGCGCGTTTCAGACCGAATGCACCCGTTAACCCCGGCAGGCGCGCGCTCCCGCTCGCTCGGTTCCGCGCGCTGATGTGTCTGCATCTGGTGGTCGGAGGTGACTGCGCGCTCCGGTTTAACGTTACCTGCCGGTGAGGGGGGGTGAGGGGTGGGGGGGGTTAACCGTACCTCGTCCACCGGATACCGTGCAACACACACCCGCTACAAACCGTGCGTGCGGCCCGGTGGGTTTTATTCTGCCTCCGGTAAAACACAAGTCCCCAAGTTCACCGCTCCGTCCTCACGCGCACATCATCTGCCGAGACGGAACCCACGGAGCGCGCGAGCGATGACTTTAGGAGCGAACTTAACGGCGGTAACGGGAGCGTGCACGAGCCCAAATGTGATGTTTATATTTACCGTGTCGTCCGTCGCTCTGCCTCCCGGAGCCTGACGGTGGTTCTCTCTCTCTCCTCCCGTTCAATCTCGACCTCTCTCTCTCTC